GGTGAAATTGGCCCTTAGAATAGAACATAATAGAAAATAGTATACATATAAAGTAGCTTAAAGCTAAGAATTACTCAGTTTTAAGCTACTTTATATAATAATAAATATTATTTATGAAAAGTGTGTTCGATTTGAAAAGTAGCTGTCACATCAAATCAAAAGTCCTCTAGACACATACATGGAAAACCAAATTTGACTGACGCATATTTACAACATGCATCTTGATTCAAGGAATTGTGTGAATTGGTGGCAACGCGGCAGATGCCGCTTAGCTATCCAGTCGGATTTTACCTCTTTCTAACATGTGTCTATTCACACTTCTTCACGTGCACATTGAAATCAAGCCGTCATACAAATTTGGTCCGCAATGTACTTATAAACATTTTTTTGGAATTTATTTGAAAAACTTGTTTTAACAGTTTCTGACGCAATTTTGGTTCTGTCAACATGCAGATTCGTTAAAATGGGTCCTTTGTGAACAAGATTATGTAAGAAAAAAATAGCATATCTTCACTTTCCTAGACTGAATATTATTTTCAAGTAAATTTCTTTGTTTTCTCAATTTTGCAGCTCTATTCTCTGATTACAGATAATCGGCTTTCTCTTGTCGACTACAAAGCTTATTCCACAAGCTCTGCTCTTTTATTCAATTAAACCTTTCATTTGCGGATTATCATTTTTGTGAGCTACCAAGATAGAACCAATTATTTACTAGGAAAGACCATTTTTAGTAATACCCGGATATTCTTTTGTGTGCACAGTAATTAGGACCCACCCAATTTTCATATGGAAATACTTAACTAATAGACCAGGATCCTGTTTCTAATAAGGTTACAAGTTAGAACAATAATAATAAGTATAATAATGTTTGTTGGTCTAACCAGAAGTTTTCGTATAAATAATAACATAAGATACCCAAGAAAGTGTACGCTGGGGTTTTAACCGACCTGGAATTATATGGATCATATTACCAGTGGTTGCCGCCAGGGGGATGAAACTCATATTGGCGAATGGGAAACCAAGCAGTGTTGCCGGTGCATAACATGACAACCATGCCGCACGCTCAAAAAATTACGGCTTATTCACAACTGACGTCTGATTTTTATTTTAAATTTCCGGCGGGTTTCTTCCTGTGCTCTGTGGTCGGTGCTTTTCAAAAATAACCTTACTTTTTTCAGCATGTCATTTTCTGAACATTTCATTTTAATTAAATAAAGTTCCTATTATGTTATTTGAGCCATATGCATTTTGTTCGGAGTTGTGAAGTATAACAATGTAAGTACACAAACCTGTAGTACCCATGTTAAATGTAATATTTGAAGTTCGTACCGTTTGTATCTCCACATCACCCTTCGAACAGTGGAGCGCCACGAAAAGTTCGACAGCTGCCGTTGTCAACCCCTGAGGTCCTGAGAATTATCAGAAGCCCAGAGATTACTTCTGATATAACCAAAAGGCACAGCTCTGAAGGATAATTCCAGAACATAACATTTGTAAGTTTTTATATGACTTAATAACTAGAGATGTTTTGTACTGTTTTTTGACCAAGTTAGTTTTCATACTTCATTTTAAATTAGCTATTGTCAGAGCAGTAGGGTTGATATGCAAAGCTCACTATAATTTTGATGAAATCAAAGCCAAGTATTGTTATTGAACAATAACAAAAAAAAATTGCTTTGGTACCCGTGGACAATCATATTATTGTTCTAATAAAAAAAGAAATCTGTGAATTGTAGTAACATACCAACACCATTCAATTTTTTTCTAATTTTTGATTTATGCAGGTGCCAACAAAGGCTGGGGGATGAAAACATCTGGACCATAATGATGTTAATACTGATTTGCTTGTAGAAAAATGTATAAGACTTATATAACAAATACACATTTAGGTATTTGCAGTATATGTTTTTTTCTGAACCTTTCCAGATTAGTAAGTAGATATGAGTGATCTTATAACAGCTTGTGTTATTGACGTTGCTATGTTAATATACAAAAAAAGCATTTATTCGTCAAGATAGCGCAAACTGTTAATAACACATGCTGTTATAAGATCTCCCATACCCCACCAAATTTCTATATATAAAAGTATAGCAATCTCAGATTTATTTGTAGAGCGGGCAACGTTGCGGGATATCAGTGCACAATCTGGCAACCATGTCGCGTTCTCAAAAAATGGCCGCTGACAACTATACAAGTCACCGTGTTGCCATTGAATAGCATGGAATTAAATCTTCTTCAGTGTATATGTTCTGCGGTTGCCGCTATTGACGAGATGTGTTCGTTCCAGATGAAGTATTTGGTGATCTGGACGACGATGCTGCGTTCATTTGCATCAGCTTCATTTGGATAGCCCCATGGAGAAAAGTGGAACGTAATTAAATTGGGAGATCTGGGAGGACAGGGAGGGAATGTTACTGAATCGTAAAATTAAACGTCCCGGAAAAAGGATACATCAATACAGCCATTAAAGTCTACAGGTCGTAGGTCATGAGCCACTTGAACATCGTTCACTTTCAAATGAATAATAATTCATATTAAAGTAGTCCAACGCATCTGCAGTTGTTAGGAATGGCACCGTTTAGAAGTTGTGGAATTATTCTAAAAACTTTTCCCAGCATACCCAATGCTGGTTAATGTACGAGCGACTTACGCCCTGCTGGACTTAGGGCCATCAATTTCTTGAGCTTTTTCAATATTTCTGCATGTTTTCAGGCCTTTGAATAAAACCACGTTTTCATGTAGTAGGAGAAGGTATTAGTAATTATAAAGGTGTATGCACCCAGTCATCAATTCCGAAGATTTTTGATAGCTTGATGTTTGGTCAGCCAAACTGGTCTTGCCGTGAGCTAGAAAAGATGTTTTGTTGGCTGCCTTGGAAAAAGGACTTTTCCAAGGCCTTGGAAACAGTGAGCTTGGAAATTCTATTGACAAAGCAGTTTTTCAGATAGCACTATAAGATGGTTAGGGTAGGACTCAATCTTTAAAAACCTTCGAACTTCAAGGTTACATCAGAGGTTCCTCAGGTCTCCTACTGTGCTCCTCGCCTCTCATTTTGTTTGTACATGACATCCCTGATGTTCTAACTCATCCTAAAGGAACCCTGCTTACTGGTCATCTAAAAATTTCCAGGACAATTACGAAACGGGATTACACCTGTATTTAAACATACGTAAATGCCTTTTTACAAAAGTACAATTTAGACTGGCTATAAATTAAATACTGATACCCTCTAGTAAGACCACCGCTGAGGATCTTGTTGTGCCTTTTGATGAAAGTCTTACTTTACAGACCACGTTATTAAGGTTAGTATAAGGACATCCAGATACTTTGGGGAAATTTTGTTTTTTAACCAACACCTTCCGAATTTTATTCTGCCTCTTGGTAAGATCAAATCTAGAATATGCCACAGCAGTATGGTGCCTCAGTACCACTCTGATAAAGATTGTCTAGAGCGTGTTCAAGATAAATTTTTACGTCTCGCAGTTTTAAAGATAAACGGAAACATAACTGAATTTGAATACCTACACCGGAGCGTAGGCGATTGGCCTTTGACGGTTATGTCGCTTTCATGATTACGTTAGAGCTCTCTGATTGCGAAACTTCGCTAGTATTGACTAATTTTAATGCATCCTGAGAAGCACTATGCAATATCAATCTGTTTACGATTAAGGTCCATCCGACAAATTATGGTCAGCACTATCCACTCGATAGAGCACTTCGTCTTACCAATTTGGTTCAATCTGATATTGACAGCTTCACTTGTACACTCTCAGGCTTCAAAAAGTATCGTTTAAAGTGTGACTTTGTACTTATGAGTTTATGTACGTATATTCTATGTAACTCCGTAGGAGCAGGAAAACCCTGTAAATTTTCATTGGAACTTGTTGCATTGTAGCTGAACTCTCATAACCATCTCCTGAAAACCTTGCCCGTATGCTGTTTCTCTAGAAATGTGCGGATGTACTTTGGCCGCGCGTAGCTGAGCGAGTTTCTGTGTACTCGGTGGGCCAGACCATCTGTTACGTGGAGATATCGATATGCATACGAGATATTGTTTTTCCGTGTGTGAAATGCAGAATTTGCGTCCATTACCATATGACAGACATGTCGTGCTACATGGGATCCAAAGCTATAATTGTCTATCCCATTTGCGTATGGAAATATATACTTATGAAACACAAAAGATGCCAACGTTTACTTAGCGCTGGATAAAACCGAATATTTCCAGCTGGGGTGTTCCGAGGAATAAGGGAACACCATCTAGTTAATGAAGTGTGTTTACGTAACCAGGAATTACCCTGATATCCAAGAAGAGGTGCAAAGCAAATGCCAAAGGCAACGATATTGTTAATTATACCTGGCTTCGCGTAATGGATTGATTCCAGATGTTCTCTGAAACTAGACAGGGTCTCTCGCGATGAACTGCAACGATCTATTACTCAAAAGTGGTGGCACTTCGTAGAAGAACCTAGTATATTTCAAATTAGATCAGACTACAAGGAGGAGTATGTTTTGTCGAATATCCTTACGATGAGGAGGGTGTTGAATATTTTTGTGAGGAACCTTATCACTTTTTAATCCGACAGCGGTCGTACCCCCAAAGTATATATATATATACATATATTAATCAAGTCGCTGCGGGTCATAGTGACTCGCTAATGTTAGGCCCTTACAAATTTAGTATAAACAATAAAATTGCGTGATTATTTTTTTAAAGATTCTATTTGCGAAGGTAACTAAAGCATATAACCTAACATTGGTATAAAAAACCTTAAAATCCAAAAGTTAGGTATCTTTCAAAAAAATAGCTAAAAAAAGATTTTTTGCATTGGTCGATTAATTTTTATTTCTAAAAAAAATCCTACTTTAAATAATGAAAAACTTAAATCTATTTTTTCTGCTAATACTAGATTAAAATTTATAACAAAAAAATATCTCTGAAACCATTTATAAACTGTATTTATTGCGTGCCCATTTCTAGGGAGTATTTTTCAGACAATTCAGGCATGTAAGTTTGCCATGATTTCCACAGATGTATATTTTGCAAATCGCACAAGTGTGATAAGATTTGTTACCAGTTCTCGCACATAATTTACATGTCTTCCTTTTTCTTGAATCTTGTTCGGCTTGCTCCTCTTCGGCAGCAGCAGTCGAGATCGCATGTATGGAGAAACAAGTTCCTTGGCTAACTCTTTGAGCCAAGTTTTTCTCATCAAGCGCTGATCCCCTTTTTCATTGTACGATGATATGCCAAAACTATTGACCCCAACCACATCCAGAAGATGAAAAAAGGCTGAAAGGGGCCATCTGTTGGTTTTCCTGGCTGTTGAGTATGTGACACACATCTCATCTACTACATCAACCCCACCCTTTGTGCAATTGTAAAATGTGACAATCTCTGGTTTTCGGGCGGCACCACTATCAGGATCAATTGTTTTACCATGGTGCATAGACGATAACAGAACAACATACTTGCCCTTTTTTGGTACATATGATACCAGCGTTGTACTATTTTTTCCAAAACTAAAAACAAACGCGCTTACCTCACGATCTTTGCTTTTTATAAAGCAAGGAGGAACCTGAGGTTTGTTTTTTCTGATGGTTCCTACAGTTGTCAAGTTATGTTGCTGCAACAGGTGGTGAGTAAGTGGAACACTGGTAAACCAATTATCATGAGTAACATTTCGTCCACTTCCGGTTATTGGCGTTATTTAATCCTTGACAACTTCATCAGGGGCTTGGCTTATTTGGTGAGGTCCTGGGGGTTGTTTACCCAAATAAAACTCCATATTCAGCACATAAAAAGTTTGAGCATAAACAAGCGAAAACATTTTTAAACCATATTTCGCTGGTTTATTGGCGAAAAGAGCAACGCTCTCGGAAACCCCATAACATTTTTTCTGTAGTAGTATATTCAGCCACTGAAAATTTTTGTCCGCATTTTAAAACAATATAATCAAACACTTCTCGCAGTGGGGCTAATTTATCTGCTGCAATTCAAGCTGCCCGATCCCTTTTGTCATCGAATCGAAGAGCTCTAAGTAAAAAACTAAATCGCTGTCGGGAGATCACACATCTAAAAATTTGAACACCAGTTCCATCGTCACTCCATAATTCATAGGTGTGTAAATGAGATGATTACAATACACCTGCATAGTACAAAAGTCCAAAAAGAGCTTTTATCTCTTCCAAATTTGTTTTAGCGTCTCTTTCACGTTTGTAGTTATCTCTCATAATACCAATATAAATATTTGTAAATTCAACAATTTTTAGCAACAATTCATGAGTATAAAAACACTGCCAAGCTTTCAGTGGCGTATCAGCTTGTCTAGCAGCGCCTTTGGTACCTGGTAAATGTGTAACCATATTTTGACGTCTCGTCCGAATTGACTGTGTTGGCTCTGCCTTCTTCCACTTAGTTTTGTCTTTGCCGTTATAAGATCCTCGATAGAGCAATGGAATGTCGTCTTCAGAAGTAGATCACTTGCAGGATCATCCCCGTTTTCATCATCACTCTGCTCAATATCGGTATCTTTTTCGCCATCATCTCTAATCTCTTCTTCCGGATCTACATTGCTTCCAAGGTCAGTCTCGTCCCCTCCCAGTTCTGCCTCGGTATACACACCATAGAAATTTTTACATGGAATTGGATGAAAATTGCTTGTTCCTGGCGTGTTCATTTCCAAATTCTAATTAGAACAGCTAAAACAAAAATATTAAATGATATTATCGCTGCCAAAACAGTATGAATGTATAAAGCTTGACAAAATAAGTAAAAGCATATTTACACGCACAGTTTGTAATAATGTTTAATTTCTGTAGGAAATAACGTATGAGTAGCATAGAAACAGAAAATCTGCAACAGTTTTTTCATTCATAAACCACACTATCACTTTGTTTTTACGTTATAAACTACACATAAACAAGTAAATTGTCGCAAAAAACTGTATGTAAACATCCTTTAGTGTTTGAAATATTTACCTAAATCACCTTACTAAAAAAAATTGCAAAAATGGAATTATTATATTTACTTAGACACCAAAATGCCGGTAATAAACAATAGAACCAAAAATAGTCGCAAAATAATATGACACTGAAAGCAGTCGCTGCGTGTCACGGTGACCCGCAAGAGCTCCGTTCAAGTAAACAGCTCAATGTAAACAAAGATGTACTGAGTTTTGTAGATAAGTAGTTCATAGGAAGGTACCCGCAGCTACCGCTGTAGGGTTAAGTTAAGCTTATAGAAATTTATCTCGAAAACTATTTGACTTATGAACATGAATGTACCAGGCACAAAACATATGGAAAATGATCCCAGTCGATTTGTTTTAAGATTTAGTCCGAAACATTTCTTGCTTGCTTGTTGTAACGAATTCTTTCATCGGTGTACCGGGTGCGCCATCTTTTATGTCGGTATTGAAACATCGAATGACTTTGATATTTACCAACCGAGTGGCTTGGTTATACGTGTTACTGAAACGTCAATTTACTACAATTTTAGTCATGAATCGCTTCACACCGAAACAACGCGCCGAAATAGTCACAATGTACCGTCCGACAACACTATCCGTCGTTTGGTTTCGAATTTTTTTGAGTGTGGGACAGCGGGAGATCGTCAACATACCGTTCATCAATGACCAAGACGTTCCAATGGATTGGTTGAAGCGGTCAGGGACAGCGTTGCCCAGAACCCAAAAGTGTCGTATCGTCACCGCGCTCAGCATTTTGGCATCAGTGGAACCACGTTGCAACGAAAATTCCCTGGACATCTGATGTCAAAAAAAGGGGCCATTGACTGGCCAACCAAGTTTCCAGATTTGACCCCACCGGACTTTTTATTGTGGGGTTATTTGAAAAGTCAGCAAGTCCCAGAGCTCTGAAGAACTCAAGACAAACATTCGCCGCTATACCGCCAGAGATGCTCGAACATTTTGTTTTGGCCAATAAAGGTGGCCACTTGATAGACGTTGTGTTCAAAAACTAGTCCCAATAAATTGTAAAGGACCATATTCAATAAAAATACCCGATATATAGAAATCAGTTCTTCTTTTTCAAAGTTATTTCATGTTTACATTCCGACATAAAAGATGAGTAGGTATACATATCTTTTTGTGGTATGTGATCCTGTTCATTTCAGCCCTTGTACCACAAACTGGAAACTAGGCAAATAACTACCACGACCAGTCAGTTCTCTTCGTTTAGAATTGCCCTTAACTTCATTCAAGTCCTCGTGGCGTCCCTAATCAAATCTAGCTCCGCAAAAATTAATAATCCCGAAACGGTGCCATCCGTAACGACTTACAATTTCATTTGGAGCGTCTGAAAGACCTTAAAAATTAATTTGCATCTCTGCAGCGGGCTTTGCATGCAAATACGGACACGCTTGGCCGCCTTGAAAATAGTGTCTCCTGGTACTCATTTTTTATTGGCCGATGCCGCGACGCTGCTGCAATTCTCTCCGCGTAAATGCAAACCGGAACGCATCAGCGCCGGTCGTAAAATCGACGCAAAAGCTCCTGCGAAACAAGGTTGGCATAGCTTCAAAATAAACTTATTTCAAAGCATTCTCCAAGGTCTTGTAGGCCAAGGATCTACCTTTAACTTAGATAGTTGGCAACGTTAAAGATTAGTTTCTAAACATTGTAACGCTGTAACATACAGGGTGTTTCAGTTTATTGTTGCATAACTTTAAGATTCGATAGAACTTTTAAAATTAATGCATAAAGTCTATATAAACATGGGTCGAAAAATTCGTCTCTTCCGAAATACAGGGTGTTTAAATTTACTTTCTAAAATAGTTTTTTTAAATATTTCGAACAATATTTGATGCATAATAGTGAAAATTGGTATACAAGGGCTTTTTGGTACGACAAAACGAACCATGGGCATAGTTTTACTGTAGCCGCTAGAGGGCGCTCTCTACTGTACCTGTAGTGTATTAAAATGATCGAAAAATTTTTCTTAGTGCAATTTTTAGCTTTTTGAATAAAAAAACTGATTCTTCGCACTTTTCTGCATAAAAAAGCTCTCCTGTGAGTTTTCGTTATAGTTAGCCGTTTTTAAAATATTTCGATTTTTAAGGTTCGATGCATTTTTAATTATTTATGGGAAAATAATATTTTTTATTTACATTTTCGATTTGGGCATTACAAGTAATTAAGATGATCGTTTTGACTGTGTTTTTAAACACAGCAATAATTCCTAACTCCAAATAAACACAAAAAAACAGAATATTAATTTGTTTAATTTTCCAATATTATTTTTAACAAATTAAATTAATTATTTACAACTAAAATGCTATTGGATAGTTTGGACAAACATACAAAATCTAAAGTAGTTGCTCGAAATGTAAACCCAATTGTTCAATACACAATTCACATCTACGAATGATCGAACGTGGTATAGTATTATTCAAATAAGGCCTTATTTCATCACATGCATTCCTGATTCTGTCTATTAGCATATCTCTTGTGGTTACTGGAGTCTGGTACACTTTTTATTTTAGTAATCTCCACACAAAGAAATCTAATGGATTTAGGTCAGGGGATCGTGGAGGCCAGGCGACTGGTCCTCCACGGCCGATCCATCTTTCTGGATAATTTTCGTCCAGCCGGTTTCTAACTGTTCTCGAATAATGAGCTGGGCAACCATCAAGCTGGAACCAGACCAATATTCTTAAATCTAACATAACATCATCCCACATATTTGTATGTTCAGCCTTCCAAGAAGGTCGCAGCATTTAACCTTGCAGGCAAAAGGTAGGATCCAAATAGTCGATTACGGTAGATACCAATCCACACGTTCACACTAAATTCATGCTGAAAATTTCTTTCCCGAACTGCATGCGGATTTTCATGCGACCAAATTTGTTGATTATGAAAATTTACCACTCCACTTCTAGTGAAGCATGACTCATCGGTCCATAAAACATTACTTAAAAACTCGCTATTATTATCAGTTCCATCAAGAATCCACTGACAAAATGTGATTCTTCGTTCTATGTCCCCTGGCTGTAGTCCTTGCACAGGTTGCAAATGGTAAGGACGTCTATGGTCATTTCTAAGAACACGGTGAACATGGCTTGCTGAAATTCCCAAGGCACCAGAAACTCCCCGAACACTTGTGGTCGGATCTCTATCAAACTCACGCAGAATCATACGGGTAAATCTGCGCTGACGAACATTTACGTTTTGATCCCTTTGGAGATTTCCAAAACCATTTTCAATTATTTGGCGATGCACTCTTACAAATACTGAGCGAGTTGGATGTCGTCTGTTTGGAAATCTTCGTGCGTATTCTCTGGCTGCTTCTGCTGCGTTTCCATTTACAACGCCATACACAAAATGAATATCCGCTAACTCTTGATTGGAGAATAAAAATGGCATTTTTATAAAACTTACAAAAAAAAAAACAGGTAAAAGAAACTAAATTTCGTGCATTCACAATGCAAAAAAACGTTTCAGTTTTCAACAGACAACAAAACTAACTGTCAATTAATTGACGTTTAACCTTATTCTGCTTTCAATTTCAAAAATGTTTTCAGGCACAGCCTACTTCTAGAAATTATCGAGATACTGACTTTTTAACGTTATTTTATCATAAATAATTAAAATGCATCGAACCTTAAAAATCGAAATATATCAGAAACGGCTAACTGTAACGAAAATTCACAAGAGAGCTTTTTTATGTTGAAAAGTGCGAAGAATCAGTTTTTTTATTCAAAGAGCAAAAAATTGTACTAAGAAAAAATTTTCGGTCATTTTAATACACTACAGGTATAGTAGAGAGCGCCCTCTAGCGGCTACAGTAAAACTATGCCCATGGTTCGTTTTGTCGTATCAAAAAACACTTGTATACCAATTTTCACTGTTATACATCAAGTATTGTTCGAAATATTTAAAAAAAAAATCTATTTTAAAAAGTAAATTTAAACACCCTGTATTTCGGAAGCCACGCATTTTTCGACCCATGTTTATATAGACTTTATGCATTAATTTTAAAAGTTCTATCGAATATTAAAGTTATGCAACAATAAACTGAAGCACCCTGTATAAAATCTTTCAAAAAAGCTTCCGCATAAAGCTACTAAATTCTAATAATACGCACTATACCCTAATCTTCAGTGAAAATAAAATTCCTGATTATTTCGTGAACGATAAGCAGAACGACTCGTTGTGGAGGTTTCCATGATTTAGAATCCATAAAATGCTCGGCAAAGTTTTAGCTAGAATCCGGAAGGCAGCTAAAGTGGTGTGAATACCATTATAGTTATTTATAAGAAAGAGTTTTACAAGGTAGACACGCAACATGGGAATTAGGAGATAGCAATAGGTCAAGGGACAGCGTTTCGTAACCAGACAAAAACGTCGGAAACCCCCTTGAAAATTGATAAGTCAAAAATCACCAGCAGCTTAACAAACTGATCGTTTTTTTGCTCGTTAGCCGTGTAGGAGACTTTCAGAGCGTTTGCCCTTGGCACTGTGGTAAATCTTTGTCAGAATCTGACAGGTCCCTTCCATAGTATAGAATGGTCAAACAAATAAGGGATCTAATACCGACCCTCACAGCTACTGGCCTTTAGCTCTGCCTTCTGTTATAAGTAAGGTGATTTAAAGGTGCATAAATCACGAGCTTCTCTCCTTCTAACAGACAGTCTTGAAACCCTTTCGCACCGGCGGGC